AGGTTCAGCGAGCGCAGGCGAGCTCGTGCCAGGAAGAAGCAGAGGCCTGATGTTCGTGATCGGCATGTCTTTTCCCCTTTCGGCAAAGGCTGGAAATGTGCTTGCGGCAAGTGTGTTTTCTCCGAATGGCAGCGCAAGATAGTCGCGCAGAGAGGTTGTCCTGCGAAGATAGCTTTGCGCCAGCGTATTCTCTCGCGCCCCCCTGGCCTTCCAGGGGATCAACTCAGGGGGCCCCGTTTAGACCCCACTGGAGGCCAGGGCAGCGGCACTGCTCCTTCTCAGGCCACCTTGTCTGGTGAGTTTGACGCTCGTCAGGTGGATGTCGGGGGTGGGACTGGGACGGGGGGGGACTCTTCCAAGCGCTCTCGCTCGCCTTCAGAGATTCGTGTTCTCAGGCGTGTTCGCGTGCGTCTTGCGGACAATTCGAATGCCCTCGGATCGCCGTCGGCGCCCTCTGGTCGCGATCGGTCGCCGACTCCTGGGGACGTTTTGATGAGGGTGCACGCTCGGCTCCGAGAGGCTCGCCCCGCCGCACCGCCTCTCAGGGTTGTGAGGGCCAGGCTGGATGGGCCTCCGCCTCAGGATCGAGGCACGGTTCGTTCTGTGGCCTTTGAGCCACCCGCCCTTGGCGCGCTCGACGCCGCTTTGGGCATTCTGCAGGCGCGGCCCGCCGCCGCCGCTGCTGCTGCTGCCTCTTCCCCCTCCCTCCTCGGTCCTCCTGGGGGGGGTGGAGGGCCTCGGGCGGGAGCCTCCTCAGAAGTCCCGTCGGCTTGGGGGGGGGCCCGCGGAGGGGCGGTGGAGGCCGCCCTCGCGCCTCCTTGGGCCCAGGGCGATGTACCGCCCAGTGCAGTGAGGGGCCATGAGCTTTTCATCGCGCCTGGGGTCGTCATGCGTTGTTTGCTTTGCGGGTGGATTTCCACGGGCAAGAACACTTCCTTGCGGGATCGGTGCCCCCCCGCCTCCATATAGTAAGCGTGCGTTGTCGCATATCCACAGGTTTTCGACTCGTCGTCATCCCGCGGATCAGCACAGGCACGAGGATCTCGAGATACAGCGTAGGCTGCAATTCCCGGATCCCGAGTTGCACTGGTTGCAGCTCTAACTCGTTCGGGGTTTTCCCATAAAAGCTTCATTTCTTCCACAAGCGCTTCTTGTGTCTGCTGCTCTCCCCGCCGAGATCCTTTGGTGGGCTCTTGGGGTGAGCGATTGTAGCAGGCCTCGGGGGATGACTTTGGTCGTTCCCCCATTTCAGTGGCCGTTTGCGCTCCGCGCGACGGGCTCCTTCAGGCTGCGTGCTCCTCCTCCCACGCCCCTCCTCATTCCCCACTGCGCCTTTAACGCCCCCCATTCTCTTGCCAGTCCTCCTCCTCCTGCTCCCTCCTCCCTCCTCCTCCTCCTCCCTTCTCCTCCCCCTCTCCCTCCTCCCACCTCCTCTTCCTCCTCCTCCTCCTCCTCCTCCCTCGTCTGTCTGTCTGCTCGTTCTCCGTCTCTCCACGTCCCTCCTCCTCCCCCCCCCTCCTCCTGCCTCAACATCCCTTTTTCTCGGCGCTCATCTTTGCCCCGTCTTCCTCCGGAGGAG